GGGGGGGGGGGGGGGGGGGGGGGGGGGGGGGGGGGGGGGGGGGGAGTGCAGACGGCCCTGGGATATGGTCGAGGTTTAAGGGTAAGGTATTTCAGGGGGATGCAAATGGAGAAGCGGAAGATGGGCCGCCGAGGTACGCTACCTTTGTGTCGTTCGGATGTGCTATGTTGTTGTGGTTGATTCGATGCCCAACGCCGGGGCCCGCTATGTACGCTTTTGTGTTTTCGTGGCATTTTGCTCCTCGAGGTTTTCCGTGTTGATGTAAGTAAAATATTCCTCAAGAAAAAATAAATCCAAGAATTCTCCGCTTAATAGCGGGGGGTGAATTGCGCATGTACGGTCCTCTCTCATTCTCGCGGAGATCGTTGGTCACGAGTCTTCGAATGCACGCTTGAATAATTTAGATCGATGTTTGCCACCGCCCTCAACTCGAATGCGGCTTTGCATTTGAAATCGACATACATTCTCGAGGCGACAGTTCCCAACGACAACCAAGCTACGAAATTATTCAGGATTTATGCATTTTTGCTCAAAATCCCGACCGAAATTTTGTCGTTTTTCTGGCCCTTTTGCGGAGGTTATGCTTTGTTCAAAGTCCAACCGAAAAATTTACTCGAAGTCCCGACCGAAAATTTCCATGTTTTTTGGCTCTTTTGTCGCCTGCGCCGTCGCCGCCGTTTTCGGTAGCTTCCGACCCGGCGGATCCGTGCTGAAGAAGAAGGAGGAATCCGTGGCGAGTGCCAACATCCAGGCGTTCGGCGGCCCCGGCGCCTACGGCAACCCCTTCCCATCATTCGCGGGTCCCCCTGGCTTGGGCGGGGTGAGATAGAGAAAGAAGCAGAAGGGCGACCAACCCTGTTTACTGTTGTGTTGTGGTGCCTGATCTAGGCATCGCCGTCCCAGCGATGTAGTGTAGAGAACGCGAGTAAGCTCTGGTCACCACCTCCTGGGGGGTGCTGGTGTGCGCTTTGCGGGTGCCAGCGCTTTTAGCAGCAGGGCGCAGCTTTCCGATATTCCTGGTGTTGTCTTTTTCGCGGGGCGTGGGAACGACTTGGCGTCACGCGCCCTCGGTGTGTGCCTCTAGATTTCTTGGGTGATCGATGCTTGCGAGACGTTTTTTAGAAATTCACATACCTCTAAAGAAAGACTTCGGGTAATAGATATCAACCAGTCGAACGGGATGTGTGAGAAGTCTTTACAGTGAGTGGAAGAAAGCCGGCTGGATGCTGGGCTTAGGTGACCTGGCATGTATGAAGAGAGGTTTGAAGAAGCTGTCAGGGCACGTAGTACTTGCGGAAGGTAAAGAGGACTATCAGGGTACGTACAATATAGAAACAATACATAAAACACACAAAAATACTACCCGTTCGAGATACACTACATGTGTAACCACAGTCGAAGAGGATGTGTTGCAAGTCTTGACAGTGAGAGTGAGAAGAAATAAGTTATTTTGTTCCGTTCTGACTCGAGTTTTTTTCTTTTTTTCAGGGCCAACCGGACGGTCCGACGCCCGACCTCGCTGGGCCCGGCGCGCCGGAGGTGATCTCCGTAGATGGGAGCATCGTCATGGTGCTCAAGCCGAACGATCTTGCCAAGAAGAAGAGAAAGTTCAAGCAGGTGAGTGAGGATACTATGCATGAAGCCTTCTTTTGAGCCTTGAGGTCACTGCTTTGTTTCGCTCGGCGATGTTGGCGTGCTGCTGGTGGCTTTTGGTGTGTGTCGGGCCTCAGATAGACGGCGCCTTGGACGGCGACGTGATATGTATCGCCCCTTCATTATTCCAAGAGCCTAGAAATCGGGTCGGGGCTAGTTTCTTGGCTTGACGCAGATTGGTCTGTGCCGTCGACCGAACAACCACCCAAAGCAACGCGACGGAATGCTCGCCCCCCTCGCCACACCAGGATGGTGCCAACAGGCTGCAGGTCATCGCGACGTTCGACCACTGCCTGACGGCGTTCTACGCCAAGGATGGCAAGACGCCCTGTCTCAAGACTACTGACGCCTTGGAGCAGGTGCGGAGCAACAACGGCGTTTGTTGTTGTTGGTGGGGGGTCGTGCCATGTACTGGCTACGTGTGACGGGGTGCATTACACTTGACAGCCAGTACGGTTGTGGCACAGCAGTCGTCGCTGCGTTAAGGACAACGAAATTGAGGACACTCTCTGCGCTTGGGACACCTTTCTTGCCAGAATCTTGGTGCCCCGCAAAATGCAAAAAACGAAAGGGTGGAATTTCTCATCATTGATGCTGCCGTAGTCGTAAAGACCATTGACCTCGCATCCCTACGTTTGCCGGGTTCTCGCCGGCCCAGGCTACGTTTCACATAAGGGGGGTATGACAGGAAGAACACACTCCGCTTTGAGGACACTCATTGAAATACGCCCATGATAAGTGTCCTTGCAGCGCGTACAACACACACTAGTTTTGGTGCCGCTGTCGTGTCGGCGTGAGTGGCGAAGTTGGTGGTGTTACTGGTGGGCAGTACTTGCCGATCGTAACGTCGGCATTTGCGGATATTTTATTGTATTTTTGTCTTTTATTTCCTCCCCAGAAGTCTCGCTCTTCGGTTGGTTTGCGTTCTCGCTGGTGTGCTTGGGTTCAACCGGCTGCTGTTTTCCGTCCGCCGCATCTCGTTGCTGTAAGCGTATCTCCAGCGTGTTCGTTTTCCGATCGACTGCATGCGTGTGTATTTCTGGCATCGGTTCCCGTCCCGATGTTCATTGAGTTTGTGTCTGATTATTGACCGTTGCCTTGTCGATGTTTTTGCATGTGTTTTGTCCATCTCTGAGGTTCTCTTTTGACTCTTTTCTTTATTTTTTCCTAGATTGGCTTTTCGTGCCGTTGCTTTGTTCTTGTTTACTTTCGTGTGTGTGATTGCGTTTGTCAACATCTTTTTTTGTTCTTCTTGACCAAATTGTACATCCTGCTGTTGATTCCTTCCTCTTCGTGTGGCAGAACCAACACGTGATGCTACCCGAGGCCGCAAAAAAGGTGCGCTTCTTGCGGAGCGACTTCAAGAGGAGGATGGACGAGGGCGGGAAGACCATGACTCCAGACGAAAGGCAAGCTAGCCAGGGCTTGGCCCGTAGGAAGGAAGCTATTGATGGTTATTGGGGGAAGAGGAACATTGGCTCGCAGGCCAGGGCGTGGCCCTTAGGAAGGAAGCTATTGATGGTTATTGGGGGAAGAGGAACGTCAGCGATCGCTCGGCTCGAGGGCCGGACGGGGAAGGCTGCTCCCGTGTCCATGGCGCACAGTCATGCGCTGGCACGCCGTTTCTTCCCCAATGCCTGATCCTGTTTTTGTGGAATACGCCCCCCCTGGTTTTTTGGCGGTAACCATAATGGTGGTGGAGTAGATCATGTTGTGCGGGGTGGAGAACCCTCACTCCGCGCAAGGGGGATGATCGCACCACGTTGTGTTAAAATGGTCAAGCACCCTCGAGGCAGTTACACAGTGCTTACAACTGTCTCAGGAAGTGAAAGCACCAGAAAGTAAATTAAGTCATACGCAGCTGTCATCCGTACGCAAGGAAGTAAGCACAAGATGCCGAAAACCCTTAGCAGGATGCAGCGCACCCTTCATGCGACTCGCCGAATATCTCACGGCGCTTCGCGCTTGGTGATGTGAGAGCCTGGTCCGGTGAGAACCCGGCGTGCTCCGTCCCGGCTTTGTAGGGATGCGAGGTCAATGGTCTACAAGTAACGATTACGGCATGCACGACTATGAGTACACCCCCCCCTGGTTTTCTATCAACACCGTGTTTTACTCGGTATCGACACATCTCTTCATTGTTCTTATCAACGCCTGGTCCTCTTTGTCGAATATGCCCTCTTGGTTCTCTCTTAACACCGTGTTGTGCTCGGTAACGACGCCTTTTGTTTTCGCAGAGTCGCAGCACTCGAAGACAACCTTCGCAAGGTGTACAGTGTGGTGGCTATGGAGGGGGGCGTGCACATGAACTCGATCGGGCCCGCCATCGAGTCGCAGCTTGACGGCATTCCGCTCAGGTGCGGGGCCTTCTTCTCGAGCTTTTACTGTCATGCACCGCGGTAGACCTGCGTGTGGAATTGTGGCACCATCTACGCAGCAGTCATGGCATGGCATGGCGCCTACGGATCATGGTAGTGTTGGCGCTGCTGCAGTAAACTGCTTGTTGACCTGCGTTTGGAATCGTTGCACCAGCTGTCCTGCAGTCATGACGTGACGGCTGGGGTTTATCCCGGTGCTACTGCTGGTGCTGGTGCTGGTGCTGCTGGTACTGGTCTAGTGCTCCTGGTTGTCGGTGCTACTCCGGCTTCCCTCGTCCCTGTGTTTCTTGCCGCTCTTGCTTTCGACCTTAGCCGTGCTCGCCTCCCCCTGTCGCCCACGTCGTTTGTGGCGTTTCTGCCTCTCGTCGATTAACCGAAAGATCCGTGCATCGTGTCGCATCTCTCTCCTCCTTTTGACTGCGCCGTCTCTCGTCCCTCCCGGCTGTTGCCCGCGTGTTTGCGATGATTCGTCGGCGGACAGGGAGGGTGTAGACGATATGACGGCTGCGCTGGCGTGGAGGGCGATTCCCCTCACCATCTTCTGCGCGGGCTACGGAAACGTGGCGATGGAGGTGTTGCGGAGAGGATCTCCGAAGATCACGGGGCCGGGGGGCGTGTTCACCCCTCACCTGCGATTGGTAGCCAACTTCTTCAGAGTGAGAGCAGAGAATGGTCGCGCTGGCTGCGCATGTGTTTCTTTATTGTTGGTATCGACCGCGCTAACCTTCTGATCAATGACAAGGCGTCAGCGGTAAGTGCGGCTGAACAGCACATAAATTTCTCCTGAAAGGCCATGATGTGGGACCCGGTGAGAGGGCGTCATGGGGGAGGCTAAGCTGCTCTCCGGATTGAAGACAGAAACGGTAGCACATGGGGAAGACTGCTTGTCTTCACTGAAAACTACGTGTGTTTCTTTTTTAAGCGTCTTTAACATCGCTAACCGACCGACTAACGAGAAGAACGCTCCAGTCTGCAAGAGCCAAAACACGTACCTTTTGTTTTACACAACAGGTCACCTTTGCGGGCCAACTTTTAACTGTGTGCGAGGCCAAGGGGGTTTCGCAAGCTTCCCCTCCCATGGCGTCTTGTTGTCTGTCAGGCTTGCTAGTATCGCTGTGGCTGTTGACTCGCGTTATTTTTGGTTTATATGCTCTTTGCGCAGGCCGAGGTATATGTGTGGTATGCCGATCGGTTGCTTTTCCCCCGAAATATCGCCTCGGAGGGCTTAGAATGATTTTTGTTTTCGGACGCAACGTCCCCTGGTACATGGCGACCGCCACTCCGCCCCCTCCTTTTTGAAGAAATGTTTTTTTGACCGCCTCGCCCATCGTGTCCGTAGCGGCATTTTTGAAGGAGACAAATAAGGCAGCTTTCAGTTGAAGAAAAGCCGACCTGGACTCCCCCCCTTGTCCCTTTCCCCTACCGACGTTTTCTCTCCGTCGCCGACGTCTGGACCATTTGTTTTTTGTTTCTTGTGTCCCGTATAGCCGGACGACACCATGACCATAATCGGGATGTACGACACGGTGCCCCTGATCCACGAGGCCAAGAAGTCCGGCGCGACGTTGCTGGAGTTCCTCCGAGGCGTTCGTCAGGAGAACGCCTTCTCCGCACGGTCGAACGTGCTTCTCCTGGGAGCGGAGCTGTCCGATATCGGCCTCGGCAATGGCGAGTGCTCTCTGTCTTTGGTTACCAAAACAACAAGTGTTGTTGCTGCTGTTGTTGTTTGTTGTCACTGCACGTAGGAAGCGGTGGATTTGGGCGTTGTTACACTCACTGAGCAATTGCTGTATCTTTTTCTTGCCCCAACAAGCACGTAGTAACTGCACGGCGACGAGGCACAACACGCCCCTACCCACACACACCGCCCGTTCGATAGTTGAGATAATATCACGTTAGCCACAAACATCAAAACAGGATCATTGCTTTATACATAAGCATGTGTAATTCACCTGTAGAGCTTGAGAAATGTGATGCCCCCTCCTCGTCGCTTGGCCTTTTTACGCTTTTGCATGTACCATAGAGATTCCCGTGTGCGGACGGCTGCTTCCCCAATTGAATCGATTTTTTTCCGTTTCTCTACTGTGTCTCGGTTGGTTCGGTGGCTTTACGAACGGGAAAATTCGCAATTGAGGAATGGGGAAAAGGACATGTTGTGACGTTTAGAAGCCGAAATCAAACCAGTTAGACTAGTCAGCGCTACCAAATGTAATGGTTTTATATCGACTTCTACAACAGTTTGTCGCGGGGTACGACCTCACCCCTCCTCCTGCACCGCCGCCGTCGAATTACGTACGTCACGTTGTTCAGGTTTGCCCGGCGTGGAAGAGCGGATTACCGTGGGGTTCCTCAAGCTGGACGGGCACGTGCTCGACAAGCTGCCGCGCTACGCCCAGGCGTACGACGTGGTGATCGTGGGGGATGGGGACATGTCCTACGCCAACGAGATCCTCCACGAGGTCGTCGGATAGGCAAGAGAGGGAGGGAGACCCTACCAGCGTGGATCTCTCCCATCATCTAGGCGGCTAACGATAGCTTTCGTCCGGTCGGGAGGGGAGAGGGAGACCCTACGAGCGTAGATCTCTCCCATCCTCTACGCAACCGATGGCTTTCGTCGGGTTGGAAGGGAGAGAGAGGCCCTTCGGGCGTAGATCTCTCCGATCATCTAGGCGGCTACCGAGACCTTTTGTCGGAAAGGGAGAGTTGCTTGTGCCGAATCAATGCCACCCAAACCCACACCCGCCATCCCCAATGCGATGCTTAAGCTTGAGCGATTCACTGCCACGTGGTGTGCCATTCAGCGTGAGTAGTAGCAGTTGTTAAGAGGAGGATGGGGGCGTATTTGTTGCACCGATGATGTTGGGCATCACATGCGTTAGTTAGGTCGTGCGAGGCTCCCGCGGAGCGGTAGCCTCTGAAGTTTAGATGGGCACATGAGTTTGGTGGCTAAGATTGTTTCGTGTGTCTGGCGTTTCAGCTAT